AGCAACACTTTCATTTACTGTAAGAGTCCCAAGATTATCCACATGATAAGATCAGAGGTGCCCAAGGCCAAGGCTTTGCCAGTTGATTACTAACATTTTAAAGGAAGAGGAAGGAATTTGAGTCATTTTAGTGGTAAAAATAGAGAATGCTGGATGGAAACCAGCCACCCATTGTAGTAATCAAGACACTACTCTTTCTATGTCTGAGGGATAATGTCAAAATTCATGCTAGAAGTGTTCATTTTCTGAAACCCGATGAGAAACCTTTCTCAGTGGCAGCTACAGAGGTTCTACAGAGGAGGGGCTTAGGGCCAAACCACCTGCTCGGCAGAGATTGGTCCTGAAGCTGCACATGTTTTTATTCAGATTACGTGGTTATATGAGCTGTCTTAGAGATTAAAGGAAGGGGCTAACCTACTCCTCAACTACCTACCCTTCTGTCATGCCCCCACTGCCCAACAACAAATGTGGTGTATTTCACTAAGGGTAACTAACCTATGAGATTGATAAATATACTGATGGGAAGTGAAGCCCACACTGTGGGAAGGAATATGTGACTATACCTAATTTGTTTTGTCCACTGATATCCTCTTCACATTCTATGGGGATGATTTTTGCATCTAGGAATGAATGAAAGAATAAATGTCATTACCTGTGGGTATGACAGTTAGTCTGAGCTAAATGAATGTGAGGTATAAGTTGGGGAGCACTGGGAGATCTCACTCCATTTCTTTCCACCCCTAAACCCTGCCTGGGACTGAGAATTTTCACTTTTGTTTTTACCTTTTTGAGTGAAGACGTCAAAAACTACTATGAAAATGCACATTGTATCTGGGAGGGGTAGCACATTAAGTCATTAATAATAACAATTACTTGAATGACTTCATCCAGTTATCCAGCCAGTTACTGGGCAGCTTCCCAATAGTAATGATGCCTTTTGATCCTGTAGAGGAGGCCAGAGGATGTCTGTCTGAAAGGCAGACTATGGGTGTGGGCTAGGAAGACATTGAAGGAACCTTACTGCTTCCGCATTTTTCTGGGACTGGTGGGTTCCCACTGTTTGAGTGGTTTGGGCTGAGATCATGAGAAGTATTCTGGCCACAGCTAATTGTTTAATTGTTTCATTGTACACTTTAGGCCATGTGAAGAGAGCAGACTAAATGCCTGAGTTATACATTCACCAACTATGTGAATTTATGTTTCACTTAAACTCTTAGAGCCTCCGTTTCTCATTTAAAATGTGGAAATAAGAATATAAACCTCACCTCAGAGAGCTCCTGTGAACATTCAGTAAATTAATGAATGTGAGAATACTTCACAAATAAAAGAGGTTTAGTCAAAGGACCATGTTTGATCCAGAAATCATCCTCCTTGCTATTTACCCAAATGAGTTGAAAACATGTCCAAACAAAAGTTATAGCCACACAAAAGCCTGCACATAAATTGGCAATTATGAAATTGTGAAAGCAACAAAGACATCCTTCAATAGGTGAATGGATAAACAAATATGGTATATCCATACAGTGGAATATTATTCAGCAGTATAAAGGAATGAGCTATCAAGCCATGTAAAGACAGGGAGGAACCTTAAAAGCATACCACCAAGTGCAAGAAGCCAATCTTAAAAAATGGTGCGTATTATATGGTTCCAACTATCTAGCATTCTGAAAATGGCAAAACTAGGGAGACAGTAAAAAAAAGACGAGTGGTTGCCAGAGGTTTGGAGGTAAGGAAGGATGAATAGGTGGAGCATAGGTGGTTTTTAGGACAGTAAATTACTCTATATGATAGTGTAATCATGCATACATGTCAAAACCCATAGAATATACATTTATCAGACCCATGGAATGTACAACACCAAGAACGAATTTTAAATAAACTATAGGCCGAAACCGGTTTGGCTCAGTGGATAGAGCGTCGGCCTGCGGACTGAAAGGTCCCAGGTTCGATTCCGGTCAAGGGCATGTACCTGGGTTGCGCGCACATCTCCAGTAGGAGATGTGCAGGAGGCAGCTGATCGATGTTTCTCTCTCATCGATGTTTCTAACTCTCTATCTCTCTCCCTTCCTCTCTGTAATAAATCAATAAAATATATTTTTTAAAAAATAAAATAAATAAACTATGGAATACAGTTACTAATAATGTATCAAAAGACTATGTTAAAAACCCTTCAGTGGCACCTCACTGCACACCAAATAAAGCCTATGTTTTGCATTACAGCAGCCAAAGTCCTCCATCATCTGATCTCTTGCTCTACCCATCCTGGATTACTAGGAATTTCCTAAATAGACTGTCATGTTCATCTGCTGTTTTTGCCTTCCCAACATCTACTTTTTCTTTTTCTGCTACCACCCATTTTTCTTCAGCAAACAACACCTAATCCATCCTCAGTTTATGTGATTTTGTATTCGTATTTGTATTCTGGGATGGGCATATGATTCAAGTCAGTTCAATCAGAAATAATCTAGAAACTCAGTGGACTCATTAGGGAAAACAAGTTAATCATTAGGGATGCAAGGCGAGGCCGGATGGCATCCTTTGAACACTTAGACCCAGCTGATTCTGAAGCTGTCCTGCATTTCTCAACCCCATAGACTTTACAATTGTGCAAGCCAGCAAATTTGCTCTTTATGCTTAAGCCCATTTGAATTGGTATTTTCTTACAACCATGATTCACTGTTTTTCTGTGCTCCATTCTGTTTCTCCCCCTCACCACACTGTCTCCAACTGATAAAAACCTTCTCTCACTCTTCAAATTTCAGTTCTAGCACCATCTCTACAAACCTTTCTAGACCAGTTCTCATCTCCACTCTAATTAGAAAAGGCTCCTCTCTCCATGGAGACCCACAATACCCTGTACTGAGTTCCAGCAGAGTATACCATATGTTCTGCATGAATGGATTAATTTCAAAAGCATGTTTGCCTAACTATGTTGATGGAACCATCTGATTTGGATACTAGGAAACCAACAAATCCCAAGTATTCATGACAACGTACATTTATAATAGTTAAAAATAAAAAACACCTCTAATATCCAACAATAAGGGAATTGTCAAGTAAATTTGCATACATCCCTATATTTAATATAATGCCATCAGATACATCAAACCATCAAAACTAACATTTATAAAGATATGTAAGAATATAGGGAATTACTACAATGAAAAGAAAAGTAAAACCGGAAACAAAATTGTAAAGGCAGTATGAGCTCAAGTATGTAAAAAAGATTGGAAAGAAAAAATTGTCATGGCAAAACACTATCATAAATGGATTGATTCACGATATCATGTATTAAGCACTCTTGCCTGCTAGGTACTGGTATGTGTTTTCTCATTTAATCCCCAAGAACCCTATGATGTAAGTATAATTATATTTCAATTTTATAAATGAGAAGATAGACTTAAGGAAATTAACCAACCTTTCAAAAATTTCACAGAACACAAACTCAGGTATATCTGACACCAAAGGCCATACTAGTTATGCTATGCCACCAACAAACTCATTCACCAAGTTTTTGAATGATTTTTAAAATATCTTTCTGCTTTTCTTAAGTTTCTAAATTTTCTAAAAGTAATATTATCTTTCTAATTAAAAACATACACATAAAATGCTTTAATATTTTTTAAAAGAAGGAACAAGTATCCAAACACAAACACAATGTTTTGCTTTCTCTCATAATAGAGTGTTAGAGTAACAGCAGAATCTCAAAGAAGAGCTGGTGGAAGAGAGTTGACAACTGAGTGGGGTTAGAATTCTCAAGTTTCCTCATTCACCTTTCAACAAAGTCCCATCGCCAGAAACTTTGTGAGTATGGAGTACTTAACCTTTGAGGGGTTATGACTCCTTCAGAGAATCTGTTGAAAGCCACCATGGACCTTCTTCCCAAGCCAATGGAAGAAGCACGTGCATGTACACACACACACACACACACACACACACACACACACACACACACTGCACACAGTTTCAGAAGATTGATAGATGCAACCACACTTATGGCTGTGTCCCAGGTAAATGGCCCTTGATATAAGGTAATAGCATAAGAAGTCAACTTTTGTCTGATTTGTTGAAGCTCAGCTCCACCTCTGGCATTATCGTCTACACGATAAACTATAGATTAAAGTTTTTGCCAAGATGCCTCACAATCAGTAGGAATGTACTCCAAGGTCTTTGTTGGTGGGAAGATGGATTTCAGCAGATTTTATCAAACATTCTTGACTGATTCCCTGACAAGTGTTTGAGGATGACTCAGAGGAAAACTAACAGGCCTAAATGGATATGAACTTATGAGGAAAGTCATGAAAAGAACACAAGGGGAACTCCCAGGAGTGTATTACTTTACAGTTAGAAAATATTTCATGCCCTTAATCTCAGTTGACCCTCCCACCCCCACAGCTCTACGCAGAAAAGGTCATAGCCCTACTTTACATATAACTCAGGTCTCTACTCTCAACTGCATCTACAAGAGCTGATTATATTTTGGTCAAACCTCAAGCTTGATGCAAGGTCAACCCCTTCATCATTCCAGTGAGAAATCTAATTGCTTTAGTTAAGCAGGTCATTTTTTTTTTAATTATTAAAGATTCATGGAGCCCTGGAAGAGTCCTCTCATATAATACATAGCTCTACAACATCCCAATTAGACCTCTCCTGAGTCTCTCCTCATACTCCACTCCCAGACCCACTCCACACCCCTATAATCCTCCTTCTTCTCTTTATAACATAGTGTGGCTTCCTTCTTTTATATAAATCAAGGGCTTTTTAAAGTGTCTTAACAACAAAGCTGATGCTTCAGACATTTGCGGTGACTTTTAAAATTTGTTTTATTTTGTTTATTTTGCCACCCAATATCCACTTCCCTTTCTCTAATAGCCCTGATTTTCTTTGGGGAGCTATTCCTCCCCAATTCCCAGTTCATGTGGTCCCAGAAGAGTTGATACCATGATCATATGACTCATGCCAAGACCATCAGAGCCTCACAATGATTGGTTTGGGGGCAGATGAGTGACTCCTCAGATGCAAGGAAGCCCATTCGACTTCCAGCTGAGGCCTCTAAGAGAGAAGAAGCTGAGAGAATGTACAATCAAGAACTGCTGTCACCATCTTGCGGTAAATGAAGCCTGAGACAAAGCTACACATGGAAGATAGCTGAAAGCTGGTATGGAACAAGTCCTGATGGCATAATTTGGGCCAGATGTCAGCAATTCTGAAGCCAACGGTATGAATGGTGGCCACAAAGATATATCTTACCATCCTATTCCTCAGAGCATGTAAATGTTACCATATATGGCAAAAAGAGAATATTATCTTACATTGGGGGGCGAGGGGGAGGGATGTGATTAAGTTAAGAATCTTGCAAGGCAAAGCTTATCCTGGATTATCCAGCTCTAAATGCAACCACATGCATCCCTACCAGAGAGAGGAGGATTAGATGTAGACAGAAGAGAAAACACAGGCATACAGAGGAGAAGCTGATCTGAAGACGCAGGCAGAGATTGGTGTAACATGGCCATAAGCACTCCAATTGTGGTTCCAATGATAGTTCCAAGGAACACCAAGGAATGCCAGGTAGCCACCAGAGCTAGAAGAAGCAGGCGCCCCTAAAGCCTCTGGAGGGGGTGTGGCCCTGCCAGCACCTTGACTTCAGACTTCAGGCCTCCAGAACTGAGACAAAAATGCACCAAGGTTGTAGCAATTAGAAAGCTAGCCCCCTAACCCTATCCCTGACTTTTCATTTACTGAGCCAATAAACGCCCCTGTTTCCTTAGGCTATTTTAAGTTGATCTTTTTGTCACTCGCAAAAGAAAGACTTTTAAATGACACAGCTGTCCTATTCTTAAAAGTGAATTCTCATACAGCCATTTAGACGATAAAAATTTTCCCATCTCATTACATACAAATGAGAAAACTTTTCAAAGAGATCAAATTATTTTCTCAAGATAATATCACAAGTTCATCCAACACAAAATGCACAAGTATAAAATCCAAGATTTTGTAACTTGCCTGAAACCTAGTTCTTCTGACTCCATGTATCATGTTCTGCAGGGTGTATTTTCTTCATACATAGGGAGCATAGTGATGACTACACATGTAGGTCCATGTGACACAGACAACAGCATTATCACCAGTGTTTTTACCTTAAATTGTTAGTGCGCCAACTCTTATCAAAATACCAGCCAAAAAGTGAAATACAGATCATTTGAAGAGTTCTAGTCCACCATTCTGCTATGGCCTCTAAACTCCAGGCTTGGAATAAAGCCAAACCCATAGAACATTTCTTATTTGAAACACATTACCTTACACCCTTTCCCAATGACCTTCACTGTATTGTGTTTTCAGGTCATGTCCTTGACTTTTATGAATAAATATCTATTACTGCTTTTACCACAAAAAAATATTGATAGGGCCCTTATGTACTACCTATTTGAGTATTCGCTATGTAAATCTCACTTGACGATTTATTATATTAAGTACTAGAAAAACCTTTTATTCCCCCCTTGAAGAATTGGTATGCTCCCACCATTCTGATGATGAAGTGTATGTCCCTGATGGTATTTTCTTTTTTGATTTGGCTTCCAGAAAGCTCACAAAGTTCAAGTCTCCTTCCCCTCTCCCCGCCCCCCCACCCCCTGCCCCCAGCATCTGTTAATCCTTATAGTAAGTATGCATATTTATATTCTTTTCCTGAAATATGTTTAGAGTGGAATCCTAAATGGAGTATGTGATGGTTAATATTATGTGTCAACTAGACTGGGCTGTGGGGTGCCCAGATATTTGGTTAAATGCTATTTCTGGGTGAGTCTGGGAGGGTGTTTCTGGATGAGATTAGCATTTGAATTGGTAAACTGAGTAAAGCAGATTGCTCTCCCCAGTGTGGGTGGGCCTCATTCAACCCCTTCCAGGCCTGAATAGAAGGAAAGGCTGAGTGAGAAAGAATTCTCTGTCTGCCTCACTGGCTTCAGAACTAGGACATCAGTTTTCTCCTGCCTTCAGTCCTGCTGGGTCTAGAGTGCTCAGCCTCCATAACCACATGAGCCAATTCCTTAAAACAAATCATATATATAT